GGACCTGGTGGTTTGAAGGTAAGTTTCCAAGTGAATATATTCTGCGTTTAGCTATGTAGTTATGCAAATGGTTGGGAGTTTATAACTCTTCCTGGTTTACTTAGGTGAAGACTTAACTTGTTTCCAACAAACAAAAGGCCACTGACCATGCTGTCATATATGCTTTTAAGAATAGGCGTCTACGCCGGAAGTATTTGCTGCATTTAGCTCATCATACCATACACAACTAGTCGGTTGCCATTAGCTTTCTGGCGCAGAATGTCGGCGCCAAGTAAGAACAGTTATTCTCTCATCCAGCCCGCTCCGTGCTTTGCACAGGAAAACATCACGCTGTTTCCTTTATTAGGGCCATTGTCGTTTGATGCACATTTTGGTTCCGGGATCATAGTCAATTTTAATGGCGCATGATCTTATCAGTGTTCTCAACGACAGTCTCGTTAATGATCTATGATGATCTCAGCTTTCCGGTTCAATCAGTACTGTTACTTCAGACACAATTATTCAAGATCAATGATAGCCCTTTCCGGAAAGTCTACATCTCTTATCGCTCCGTTTTCGAGAGAAAATTCTTTCTCGTCACTCACCCGTCGGTCTTCACTGCTCCGCCTGAGAAGACACCACACAGTCATGCTGACTCAACAGTGCCGTTTTATCAGCGCCGCCCATCTCAATATCGGACCCTAGCTTTTCGACTCGTATGATTCAGATGCCTTTCATCTCCTCTAGCTAGGCTGCGACGCACAGTCGCGTCACATTCCACTGGCTATAGCATAAAATACTAGCCTGTAGCTGTTAAACCATCTACCAGCAAAATCTGTAGAAGATCATGACGCACCGTTGCTTCTTCTCGTCCCGACTATCAGCACGATCGTTTCTTTTTTTCTTATCCTAAGAACGCGACTTACTGCCGCCTCTGCATTCCAAGCTCTACTTGATCACCGTGCACAACTATTGCTAATAACTCCGTACAATATCCTGCATTGAAGCTATCGTATATTCGTCCTCGCACAATATATAATATTGTTTTGTGGCAGTGGCGGATCAATGCTCCTCCAGAAGAGCTCCACCGGAAAAATAATGCGTGGTACCTAGCTTTATCAGATCCAGTCGATCCATAGCTCATCAGTCCCAGCCATGCTATACCTAGGATGGATTTCTCTTTAATGTAGGACCAGGACGAGACCGCACTTCACGCTGTCAAAGTCATTAATTTTATCCTTAAGATCTGACTTTACTTGCGACTTTTTGAACAATGCTCACCTCGCAAGACGCACAGATATCGTACCTGTATTTGGCATCGTTGTTCCTCGCGAATGTCTTTTATTTTCGACAGTCATGCGTTAATCTCAATTTCTGACGCTTCTAAATCTTTTACGGCTTTGCAACATCCGGGTCAGTGATATCAACAGCCAAAAGCCCAGGTTTTGAGAGCTAGGTTCTAATAATTCAAAGAGAAAGCCATTCTACAAGGGCTGAGCCTCATCGACCGCGACCACTACAAGGTGCATAACGCAATTCTTTCTTAATCGGCCACCCTGCGTCTACTGGGACTAACCTTCTTTCCACCCGAAAGTCGTCAGCTACCGTTGCGCTGGAGATTGACACTTCACATCTTTCACGCAAAATCGAAAGACGCACGCATGATGCAGATGTTTTGTACTCTAACAGATAAATCATCCGCAAGTACCGCGGAGCTGTACAGCAGCAAACCGATATAATTTCACGCCACCGTGGCTACAGCCCGCCGCTTTGGGCGCTCATTGAGCTTTTACTGACAGCCCCCATCAGGTTCTCATGGCACGAACGTTGGCTTTTCATCAATGCGACACCCACTACATCCTCGAGAAAAGTATAGCGGATCCGGAGGTTCTTGATGCGAGCCGCATTCGTTCAAAGACCCTCCGCAAAAATAGTAACCGTCACCTCCTGCGCAAGAAGGTATGACGCTATTGTGACGATAGCTTTATTAACCTCCCGGGAATATCTGCCAGATCTCGACTCCTTTGCCGGGTGGACAAGTAGTTCAAATTTTCCATATACACACAATGTTTTTAGGCGGTGCAAACACTCACGACATCTATCATTCAAATTCTCCCACGCTGATAACGCCTCGTTTACCGATGTACTGCTTTGGCCCGTTCTTGGGTGCGGCTTTCGACGTTTTGTTGCTCTGTTTGAAACAAGGCCAAGTTCATGGTCATCTCAACTTCACATGTCTATTGGGAAAGATTTTTTTGTCCCGGCCGTCAAACGGCTAGATGCTCAACATCAGCGGCCTGGCAGTAGGTGCCACTGGGCGCTCCTGAAGTATCGCTTCCGCGCATTATCAAGACATGTGAGCGTTTCCAGGAGAATGAAATTTGAATCTAGCCCTTGAGTCCTTAATTCTTTGAAGCACCCAAACTAGAGGCACACATAAACTTTCCAGGTATGTCTAGGTGTCCCGGGGTAGTAACTCATGTGTTCTATCATTACAAAGGGTACAGTTCTACTATGCCCAAGTTGTGTGGTTGACTACAAATACTACCAGGCGCAATAAGGTTGTCGTGCATTGAAGCCTCGACTCAACATAACGCATCCTCATAAGCGCACAGAGGTTGATCTCGCACTGCCACGAAATTGCTGTGCACATCTCACAGAAAAAGCTTGGCTCATCGAGTCCGCATTAGCAACTGCAAAGAGGTTAGGCTCATACGCCTTAACTAGGGGCGAGACTTTATTATACGACAAGCGGCTGGCAGCCCATTTAATCCCCGAACCTCTCCTTCCAAATACCAATATTTTAGTGAACTTTCACAATAACACAAAGTTATAATGTAAATTTCGTACATTGCACAATATTGTATTTCGCACAAAAGAAAGGTTCGTAGTACATAAGAGTGTTTTATTCTTTTTGTCCAGATAATGTTTGTTTATCTTGTCAAAAACTAATGATGATAGAAGTACATAAAGAGAAGATACTTACTCGCTATAGGTGGCGTAGACCTACTTTATCATCTCTATCAACTCTTTGTTTCGTTTTCTTCTCATGAGCGCGGTATGCAGACTCCTTGTCAATCATCTGCTGAAAGTTTTGAGTAGGACACGCCACCTTTGAAGCTTCGTCGTCTGCAGGTTCAAAGAGAAAGCAGGAAGCTTTACCGTGCGAGCACGCGACATATGAAAATTCTCCATAGTATTCCATACTACGGTGCCGCAGCGTCACGCCATTGATCTCGCAGTCTTCGCTGTCAAATTTCCCACCATCATTATCCTGTTCAGTTGGATAGCTGGAGGGTGCAGCGTTTTGAGCACTCGCCAATGTTGTTATCGCCAATAGCGTCACTAGTCCGTAACAACTCATCATCTTGTTGTCGTTCCCGCTTAATGTGATAATGCAAAAATGTCAGTATGCTACAAGGATGAATTAAGGTGATTACAAAAATTCGGTTAGGCATCTGCTTTTGTAGTGTATGGTCGTGTCTACCAGATTGGATAGACACATTGCGTACTATACCATGTCAAACGCTTTTACCTTAACATGTGGAGGAGAGCATTTGATAATCTTATCATTGAAAAGATAAACGATGAAAATTACAGTAGAAATAGTACAAAGTATTCTTTAAGCCTCGATTACTATTGTGAAAGATAATTTTTAATAACTATTTTAAAGAGATACTAGCATTGTTGTGTATCTATTATGTGCAGCTAGAGAGAGCAAGACTTCATCGCCTTCAGGTTATTTATTGGTGTACATGCTGCCTGGCGAATGACAAGATGGTGTGCATTGCCTTGAATTTACGCTCGATGTCTTCTGGGTTCTTACAGCGCTTAGAAAATATATTCATTTGTGAAGCAGAAGAAGAGTGCACAGCCCATTTCTTAAGTTTTGAGAAGAACGGATACGATATGGCAGCAATTTGATTGACGACATCACAACTATTTAAAACAATTGTAGATCGTAAAGACGTAGCAAGGATTAGTCAAAGGTAAACGAAATGGTGTACGACATCAGATTTCCGAGCAATAATTATCACAAGTGAAGATGTGGCTTCGCGGGTTCTGCATCATTCATTTGAAGCCACATGTCTAATTTGTGGGATGCGATCGAGAAAGCCAATTCTGTCGCCATTGTAAAGTTGCTATCGATAGTGCCAATCATACAGGAACACACTGTACCTTTCTAGCGTTTAAATGACTAATATCAGCATGCACTTTATTCGATGTATTTGTCTTCGTACCAAACAGCTCCATACTCTCTTTTATCACTTGACGGAGCTTTGAAGAAAGAGGATTGATGAATACGTTAGAAGAATTCAAGTCACTTTTCAAGTGCTGTGATGTCAAACTGAAACTAATGTTTGATATCAAAGCTGCAATGAAAAGAAAGAGCACGACATGCAGTCTACTTAGCTAGTCATCAATCGATACTTTCCATCAAAAATATTCATCGTACGAACAGTAAAGACATCAGCTTGTTCTCGCTGATTAATTAGACTACATGTGATACTCAAATATGAATCACGTGACACAAACCCCATAAACGCTATTCACGCATTTTCGATTTCGACGATGGCCAGGCTGGTGTAGGGTACAATTCATTTAGTGCAGCAATGTCACCTTTACTCAAGTATTTTCGCTGCCCGACCGCCTTGGTAGCTGCCTCATTGCAAACTTCTCTCGTGATCTCAGTACATTGATCGTCATTGAGATTGCAGAACGTCGTGCCTTTCGGAACACAATTCTTCGTGACGGTTTTATCGCAATAAGTTGGTTGGCAAAAGCCGTAAGTCTGTGGATAATGCATGACACTATCGAGATCGTACGGTCCACCAACACTGAGATCTCGAATACTCATTTCTGCCCAGATACTCTGGTCAATTTCTTCCCAAAAAATACCAATTGAACGTTTTGGATGTTGATGTTCGTGGTATAATCCAAGCGAATGACCAATTTCATGCATGGCTGATCCGTACACAGTCTTGAGATCATCGTCCACTTCAAAACAGCGACCAGCCAAATTCATGATCTGTGGTCCTTCCTCTGTAATACCAATGCTCGAATTACAGTCTCGACCAGTAGGTGGATGTTTAAAATCGACCCAATTGGCACACGAATCGCAGAACTTCATCTTCTCTTTCTTGCACGTCGCTGTTGTCACGAATCGAACATTCGTGTTATTCTCGTAGATGCCCATTGCTTTATAAATGTATTCTCTTTCAATTGGTTTAAACGGATAATCGTGATTATATTGGTAGCAAAGTACACCACCATCCCAAATACGAGTTGTAGATACGACAACTAATGAAAGACGACGATCGTCACTTTCGTCTTCATCTTGACTTTGTTGCTTGATTTTCTCCTTCTTTTCACGAAGTGCAGTCTCAAAATCAATTCGTTCTTGCAAGTCGTAAAGAGGACACGCGACTTCCGTTGCGTGGGTGTGTACACGCTCAATAAGGTAGCAACTAGCTTTACCATGTGAACATGCCACGTAAGCATTTTCTCCATAGTATTTCATACTACGATGACGAAGGTGCACACCGTTGACTTGGCAGTTTTTATACTTCATCGTATCTGCTCCATTCGTGACAGTCTCTTGAAAGATATCGCTCTTCTCTTGCTGTGCGAATCCCAATGTTAATGTTACTAGTACGATAAAGCATACTTTGCCCGCGATCATCATTGAAAAAATGTTGCGATCGACGCAACGGGAATACCAGAGTCCACGATTTTACCACTCGCGATTGTAACACGTTCAGTCAGGTATTGTTACTCACTGGACAGTCACTTCATCGATGGTAATCACGTTGAATATTCTATACCTCATATAATAGTGAAACTTGCAAGTAATTCGGTGGACTGAGTGCATAGAGGAGAGCACATGGTGCATCGTTCGACGATACGATTATATCATGACAAATCTTGGAAAACATTTGAAGTTGTGTCCCTACTTCTACAGTATGAAATGTATAGTCAGACTCTGACGCAATTGTACGACTTGTTCATCTGCGCTTTCCAACTATTCCGAAGACACGAAAAACTAATTGTATCGCAATGAAAAATGGAGCGTCAAGTGTGTTCCTTATGGCAGCAATGCTGTTAGCTCTGTGTTGTGCATCACCCATGACCAAGTATACGTTTCCAAAGTGTTTGGATAAGAGTAAGGACTGTTGTAAATACGGCACGGAAATGATGAAGCATCGAGGTTACACGCTCGTCTCGTACGAGAACAATGCCATGTCTGTTACGTGTTCGCATGGCGAGTTGCGCTGTGCGATTGGAAACCCAAATACAATGGCGAGCTACGACGGTTCTAAGAATGTTTCTTGTCCAAGTACGCAATACTTATGATGATGAAAGAATTTATTGGACTAATATTGTCTTTCTTGTACTAGATTTTACATCAATGATGGAGGCACGGTCAGAAATTGAATACATTGAAGGTGTGAAGGAAGATGAACCGAATAAAACCGATGGGGAAGCAGCTACTGGCACTGTAAAACCTGCGACTCTTTCTCGCTAATCTTTCGTGTTGTGTCGAGATGTTTGATATTCGTAGCAATATTGTTGGATTCCAATAAATTGAAATGTCAAGACTAGTTGTAACGAAGTCTATTATCTCATTATGACCTCACGTTTGTATAAAAGCAATGAATCATCCAACGACAAGATGATACGTTTCATGCCTTATTAAATAGCAGAAGCGCACGAGCTGTACAATAGCAGATATAATAGAAATGCCTACCGTCGGGGTTAAAGCAATTTAATCTTAAATCCATTCGTAGACGCGAGTCTGCTGTGGTTGCTCGTCATAGTTTGATATATTCGACGTTCGCTTCGTAGGAGTACTCAAATCATCTAGACCCGTGTGCCAAGACGGCGACACAAGATTATCGTCACCCGCGAACTTTGCTTTTCTCCTTGAAGAAATGCTTGTTGTCGATCCCATACGTGGGCCAGCTGAAGCCGATGCCCAGCCGTGAAATGCGCTTTTATGTGATGAAGAAGATGATGAAGAGTTTAGAAGGAAAGGCGATGAACTGCTTGAGTTGCTCAAGCGTGATCGAGCAATATTATTGTGCATGTGATTCGATCGACGAGGAGGAAAGTTACTCAATCGGGGTTGTTCCTCTTGTTTTGAGGAGGATGGAGCTGGTACTCGCTGTGGAGCTGCACGCTGAATCTCTGTCTTGGAAGTAGAGCTTTCTTGACTACCAGAGCTCTCAGTGCTATCGGAACCGTCACTAGTACTATCGCTAGTGTTTTTAACGTCCAACAAAGTTTCTGACTCGAGAATCTGGTCAGTCATGCTGCCACTTCGGGTGATTTGAACGCGATTGGTGCCCATTTGACTAGCTCGAATAGATCCATCCGTCCCGTCAAAGAATGATGAACGTACTTCTTTGCTCAACTCTTCGTTTAGATCATATGAGCTTCTGCCTTTTTGAAGAAGCGACAACCTCAAATTCTCCTTCCGTACACTTGGTCCTTGATTCGTTTTCTTTCGTACACTAGGTCCTTGACTCATACTGAGTTGGTTCTGAGCAGAATGAGGTCGATGGACTCCTGCAAAGCCGAAGTCAGAATGACTTTCATTACTATGCACTTGACGAATTCCAATGACACTCCTGGCAAGTGGCTTAGTATCATGATCAAACAACATCTCATCGTCTTCAATACGTCGTCTTCTCGCGGATTCTCGCGTCGCAAAGCGTTCATTTGTCCGCTGTTTTGTGTCTTGAAGTGGGTTCACTGAAAGCTCTCCAGCAGCTTCAGCTGTCGCGAATAATATCGAGTCTCGCTGTCTACTATAGCTGCGTCCAATTCGCGTAATGTAATGCAACGTACCACCCAATCCAGACGCGAGAGACGAAAGTTTAGACACACGCGTTCGATTAACTAGATGCTTGTTACGTTGATAGCACAGACCACAGAGTTTCCAGCCTTGAAACGATGTAGTTGATAAACATGAAGAACAAACAAAGATTCCACACACATTACAGAGATGTTTCTTTTTTCGTGAAAAGAAACCAAGTGCACGTTGACAAGTCTGACACTTGCGTTCACGATTCGAGCGTGACGTCAAAATTTTAAATCGAGACGATTTAGTTGACGCAGCGCTGGCAGCGTCACCACTTGTCGCCGCATACTGTTCAACAAGTTGACGATACCGAATCGATAGACTGTAGGCATCATGTAGACTAGAGAAAGCTCCGTAGAATGGATCGGCACATTTCGTGAGTTCAACATCAAGCCAAAGTTGCATCTTGAGTATTCCACGGTGATTCGTTTCAGCTAGTACTAGTAACATGGCGTGAATAGCGCCACGATGTACCTGCAATTGTGCGTGAAGACTATTTGCGCTTCTCATTTCAAATTCTCGTTCAGGTACATCAACAGATCGTAACATTTTAAACACAAATTTGCAATTCGAAACAGGATGAACACCACGTCCAACAGTCTCCATTAAAAGAAATTCTTCAGCATGTCGATCATCAATTAATGAGCGATATTTCACGTGTTTAAGTCCAACGTAGCGATATGGTGTCTCTTTCGTCCTTGGTACAAGTGAGTCAAGTACACAAGCATCTAAGAGTAAATCAGCGCCAAAGAGTTCACTCTCAACACGACGGTAACTGCTCGTATCATCCACATGCAGAGCGTGCATGGCATCATGCAACGTACCAATAACAGCCTGACAGCTAGCAGCCGTTGAACGGCGACGGCCACCACAGTCACGTGTATGTACGTAAGGACTGACATTGATTGGAGGACGTGACGCAGCACGTTCCCAACTCTCCGAAATTGAGGGAGAAGCTATGCGATTAAAGTAGTTGGATTGTAGCACATGTGCGACACAGTTGGCATTTTCCTGTAGCAAAGCTTGTACACTAGCCGCTGCTGCGGACTGGATACGCATGGAAGACAGTAATAATATGAACGTCTCGATGAATGATGTCTCGACCTAAATGAAGACTGCAAATCGCAAGGTATGTGAATCGTCGATCGAGTGGGAGGCAGAATTAAAAGACTGAAGTTCATGTGCCCATTACCGATGGATGCCCTTAAGGAGGTAATATTCCCAAGTGTATTTTCTTACACAGGAAATTTCCAATACATACTTTTGACAGCTGGATTCTATGTAAGGAATATAATAATTTTCTTAATAAACAATATACTAAAAACAAAGCTACATGTTTACGATTCTACCCGGACATATACAAAGATGATAGTATTGCGTTTAAACCATGTGGTAGTAACGAAGGTACGACTCACGGATCGTAAGGACTTCTCGACATGACAACAAGGTTTTGACATTATTGCCCTTTCTTCACTGCCTCATACATAGTGGCTCCTTTACTAATTGACAAGAAGATATTGCAATCACGTCCAATTTCTTCACAGCGGGAAACGAAGTAATTTCTTATGATGGAACGCCGGTCTCTGGTCCTACAAAGACACAAACGCAACGAACAGAAGGTGTCCATCATTTGATTGCTGCTTGAGAGAGAGATCGGGACAAATACTGCTTCCACTTATTAATTAAGCGCGAACTTTCACCTTGTAGGTACAACACTTGATTCAACTGTCTCGACTGTCCGATTGCAATTGTTTGAAAAATACTAAAGCCGCCTATCCGTGTTTGTTCTCGATTCGGTAACTTTCGGTGCGATTTCTATCGTTGCGTGATTGCAATAGTATTGTCCACATTTGATGCGCCAAGTGCTTTCCAAGCCACGTTTACAGTTTTTTCGCATCTAAAGTGAACTTCGATCATTTAGCTTTGACCCTTTCACATTCCTCGTCTCATTCAAGAATCGCTAAGGTCCGCCAAGACGGAAAAGTCTCAATTTTCTATGGTTCATTTCAAACCACAGCCAACCCTTATCGCCTTTTTAAAGAGCTACATCTCGATTTGATCATCAAAGATTTTGACGGTATATCGAGGCTTTAAAGATGTGATCGAGCGAATTTTTGTGTTAACAAGGTTCATAAATACGCGAAGGATTGCTGCTAAGAATTGGGATGTGAAATACTCGCGATTTTTGTCGTGTAAAGTGTGATCTCCTCGCATGACTTGACAGGTAGAAATGGTACAGTCCATGCACATTATCAAACATTGTTCATGACGTCGAGACGATGGAAACATGAGCTGCTTTTTTTAATATTTGAAAGAGATAGTTTGACTATCCTGATTCAAGAAGCTTTTGAGATGTCTACTGGAGTTAGTCAATCACTTGAAGGTTAACTACTACGTTTCTTTGGCCTTTTCTGTAAGGAATAGAGATATTGCTTTTGTCTATTACCATTAGTAAGCATCAAAAAGCGCTGTACTCTTCGCTATATTTGCTGCTGTCGTAGCACTCGTTAACAAATGAAATAAATTTGGCGAGCATCGTATCGTTCTGCAAAATCCTCGCATACTTGAAGTGAGGCGACATCCAGTTGAGAAAGCAGCTCAACAAGCTACAATTCGCACCGAGTGGCGAGTCCAGAGAGACCGAGCAACCTGACACCAACATACAAATCCATCATGTCGCTGGGCTCAAATCTCGCACTACGCCATTCAGCACAACCTGTATAAATCCAAAGAATAGTCTTTTAAAAGCGTCGAGCAACAGACCGTCATGGTGCATGTAATGAAGAGGAACCTCATGTATTGTCTGTTTTGCGAGAACTTCTGGTACATGCTTGGCTCTTAAGTCAGTTTCGCCTTTACTAAAGCCATCGTGCGAGAATATTTACTTGAGAGAAGATTGCCTTGTGTGCCGGTAATCGCTTAATTATCGTACCGCCGGATATATCCGTCACAGACCACAAGAAGACAATGCCTGCTAATTCGTTTAGGCGAACCATCGTTGTCCACCGCGCTGAGCTTGAGAGCTTGTTAGTTTCGTGACTTTCAAATGCCGTGATTGTTGATCAGGTGAAGAGAGTGTGTTGATGATCAGTTGCAAATTTTCCATACCGTAATTTACCATCGAGAACATTCCTGAATCCTTCTTTTGCGACAGCAGTGACGCCACCTTAGAGCGAGAACGACATTTCTATGTGAGAAAAATTCTTAAACCAGCTCATTACCAGCTGTTGGTTTGAAAAACCTGCATTCTTTACAGATAACGATCAGCGATCCTGGCTCTAGTGGGCTGTAGCTTGGTCTGGGACCGGTAGTTACCTAGTTCGATACCCATCGTCCGGAGATAGGTCACTGAAGTGGACGAGCAATCACACATGTGTGGTGTGGCCGCCCTGCCAGCTTAGGTAGGGTGTAAAGAGCCCCTACTGACCAAAACAGCCTCATAGTGTAAAGAGGGGAAAGGTATTCGGTCCTAAAAGCTGCGGATAGATACCAGCACCCCGCGCTAGAGAAAGCTAAATCCTAAAGGTGTGAGCTCCGGTAGCTTAAATCTCTCTACGGGAGGATAGAGGTCGGTCCTAACAAAACAGATATTAAGGATGACGAAATTACTTCAAGGAATAGGAATGTGCAATTGCATTTTGGATAGTGTATTCAAGTGTAACATCAAGAGCGCTGTGGTATGAATACATTATCGAAACTTCCGCCCACTATTTTTTTTCACACAAGAAGTCAATGAAGAGTGATGATAAATTTAGATCTTAGCTCCGATGAATGAAAGAATCATTTGTTTGTGCGGATCATCGATGGAGAATAGAGCTTTGAAAAGCACTGTAATATAGAAAAACAATCGAAGTAATGTCATACCAACAATATCTTGGTAGGTGGGGTCTTAAATCAATCTACATTTCTTAAAAAGTGGGTATACTCCCAACAGATAATGTGTCGTTCGATCTCGTACAAGGGCAAGCGAATCAAAGATGTATGATTATCGTCACTGGATGCACAACTAACCAACTCTTAGCATTAGCGAGGATATTCAAATCCAGCTTTCTCACTAACGATAACTCATAAATGATGACTAGGAGCAAGTATAGTGGGGAAACTCTCAAACTGATTAGTCAAATGGATTCCGGCTATATCGTGATTGAGAAGTGTCCACAGTCTCTCAAGAAGGTTAGCCAAGAGAATAGAAGATGTGTTCCTGTCTCTTTTAATGATAGCGACAACCGACGCGGTTGACAATTCAATCACTTTATCCGTTAGTCTATCGAACGTTAGCTCCTGCGCTGTGATCACAAGAACTAAATTAATTTGCATCTTGACAGCTAGCGTAAGTATCTGAATTGACTGAATCACATCGCACTCTGTCAGGCGACTGACATCAGCGATATGCATGTGGTTAGATAGCGACCAAGTCTGGTAGTCAAATATTCCATTAACGAGCTCAGGAGTCAGATAGATCACCGGCAATGTGTATTGGACCACGTCCCATCATACTTGTGTGTTGAGCATTAAGTGTACTCCCTGTATAGTTGTATATCCTATCAATTCTGTTGTGTCGGGACTGGGGGAGTTATGGAGGTTTGAAGCCTGATGCATAGTATGTTTCGTCTCACAATGCAAGACGTGAGAGCAGGTATACAAATGGCAAGTATGTATACGATTGCAATGTGTAGGTGAAAAGTACAACAGATCATATGTAGCATTTCTGCATTTACATAAGCGTTTCAGACAGCGATTATTATAATATTCATCACAGGACCTACCGACACCATTTTCGTCATCTGGTGGTAACACCGTCGACACACACGAAACGTCCCGTAGAAATAAGGTGAAAAGCTTTCACGGAAACGAAGATGAAAAGCTTGCGTTTTGGTAGCAAGTTATGAACATCGCTTTCACGATGGCTTAATCTCGTGGTTACCGTGTCGCATTTGATTGGCCATCCGAAGGATTGGGCGATGACATGGGAAGTCAATCGCCCAGGTTATTTTGCCACATGGCAAGATTTGAAGAAGGCCATGGAATGGATGTTCCTTTCGCAAAATGTGGTATTCGACAACGAGTGAAATTTTTGTCATGCCGTCAGGACAGCGGCACATTGTACAGAAGCTCCTTGAGCTTCGTGCCAGTATGGCAAGCGAACCACTGTCAGAGGGAGTGAGGGTCACTAGCTAAATGAAGAAACTCACTTATGGTTATCCTACAGAGTCTGACAACTCTGAAAGATGCAGTTATGATTGCAAATCGTGAGGACTATTGACAGTGCCAAGCATGTGGCCAATCATTCAACCTGATGGAAGCAGTGACTGCTGCTACCGGGATCCAGAATCAATGGATATTAGCGCGGTGATTGTCCGTAGGCAGCAAATCCGCTGTTATGAAGGTCAGCAACTTGGTCACATCCGCCGTGATTGTCCACGTGCGAGACGATCCTCTCAATACGGTTCTCGTCGTAATCGTTCCGAGCCACTCGATGCCACTATCGCGAAGTATTCGGGAAACGCCGGAACCCAGTGGCACCCTACTGGGGTAATTATAAGATGGTGGTAGGATCACTCGCGAGCGTTAATGACACGAGTCGGATTGGCCTTCTCGTGGCCACAGCGAGTATAAAGACTTACGGTCGTCTGTTTTCAGTTATGATTGACTCCGGCGCATCGCGCAACTACGCGCGGAAGCAAAATGTTGCTGGAAATGATCTAGTGCTTTTGGATGCACTAGATAGAAGCAATGACTTTGTCTCAGTGAAGCTGGTCACTGGTGCTGTAACAAATTTACACGTACCCTTGTATGAATGGCTGGTCGCACAAGATGGTGCGACCGTAGATAGACGTGTATTGCACAAATTAGTGTAATCACACAGTGATGTGGCTACAAAGTAACATGAATCCACCATGTGGCAGGATTGCTAGTAGTAATGCATATTTCTATATTAATTAGGTTTTGCTATAATAATTAGGTATTATAATATACATTAGGGGGCCTTAGATTTTAGATATTGGCGGTTCTGCCGCAACTAAAACAGTAAAATTCAGTTTCAATTTCGAACAAAAGCGTCCATTTACCTTAATTGAGGCTTTTAGTACTTGGAGGTAGCGGATTGCGATCCGCGATCCGCGACCCTCGTACTGGTTCTTGGAAAGAACGTAAGGTCGGTGACCTTAGCATAGAGCTCTAAGTAAGGAGCTACGGCAACCCCGCTGCAGGTGCGGTAGTCATCGCAAAGAAGATCATGGATGATATTCAACTAAAGATTCAAGACTTCAAGGAGGAAGTAATCACAGTTCTCAGGTTGGACAAACGGAATGACCTGATTATAAGTAGAACCTGGCCTGAGAAGCATGAGCCATGAACCGATTGGCGACGGATAACGAGTGACCACGGGTGGATACTCAGGGAATTGTGATGATAGATCAAATGTTTGCCAGAATCGGTCATTTGAACAAAGTTAAATACGTGGTTGGCATCGTGATATGTCCAACAAAATGAATCTATGAGCCGGTTGTTGCCCCCCTCCAGACAGAAGAATGTCGTCGACATGTGTGTAATGGAAAGTCAAAAGAATCGACTTTGGTTGGATATCCAATACTCCCACTTAAACGGTGGTTGAATCGAATTGCGGGTCAGTAAGTACAACTGATCACAAATGTGATGTTTCCACCAGTCACACACATGTGAATTAATCAACGGATTTTTGTTGATCGCGTACTAATTTTCTGCTCTGGATGCGGTTGAGTCCGCGGATGAGTTTGTCCAGCGCACTACTCCCCATGATGAAACTATAGCATGGGAATATGCTGGTCCACGTTTTGTGGATGAAACGACTGGCTGTGAAGTCACCAACCAGGATGATCTTTTGTCACCGAAGAGCTGGTGCAGCTCGAGAAAATCACTTATGATGACTTCCCACACGACCTCAAGTGTGATGGCATTGCATAGGTCGTGTTGCTACAGTCAGAGGTAGATTCGGCAGAATTACGCTCATGAATAGTTATAAATATGAATGATTCGGTTTTCGGGGAATTTCGAATGTGTGTGAAGTCACACAGAGAATCGGCTGTTTGAAAGTGTCCAAGTGATCCTTATTATTCACTTTTTCTGGAATACAAGGATGGCGTCCTCGGTGCGAAACCGCCCTCTGGTCTTACATTCGAACGTGTAGTTCAGCAAAATTGATCGTGAACCTGGCTCAAAGCATGCAGTGCTTCGACAGTGGCCACTGTCGCGTGAGACAAGTGAGTATACCACTAGGTTAGCATGCTGCTGGGTCGGTAGGGAAGAGCAAGTCATCTCACAACGCACTGACGTTTTGTGTGCGTATACCAATGGTCAATTGTGTATCGTCCACGTCTATAACAAGTTGATAGCATAGACTACTCCCGAGCAAACACCGATTCCGCGTAAAGATGTCATCATCCTCAGTATACCCGGCTATATATAGTTTAGTGTACTTGATCTGGACGATGGATATTGTTAAATCTTGATGGAGGACGTCCCTCAGACGGCTGTAAGTACGCCGTTTAGTATGTTATGGGAATGGATTTGATGCCACAGGGACTATTCAATACCCCAGCAACGTTCAATCAATTGGTCTCCCATCCGTTTCAACCACTACGACGCATCGCGCAAACCTATTCTGACAATAGCTGTGTTCATTCGGAGTACGAAGATGGCAGATCTACCGAAGAAATGCACTTGGAGCACCTCTGTTCGGCGCTAGAATGTATGCGAGCTTTCATTGCAAGCGAATCTTGCACAGTGTAGTTTCGGTGCTAACGAATTACCGGTTCTGGGTTGTTATGTTGGTGAACACGGTGTTCGTGCTGACCCTGAAAAGGTCAGAGTAATCGTAGAGTGACTACTGCCACAAAATCCAAAGAGCTTGAGGCGGTTGTGCATTATTGGGAAAGAACCAATAGACACGAATTTGTCGTATCATTTCAATCGCGACAGCTGAAGCCAGCTGAAAAAAAGTACCCTGCTCTTGACAGGGGGGGTTTTAGCGATGAAAATGCGCTGGTTAAGTTTTGTGCTCACCTCTTAACTTCACCTCCGTTTGCCGTCTACACAGATAAGCTTGCGCTTTGCAGTTTAGTCGTCTCTCTTGTCACTGCAATTTGCTCGCTGGTTGTCATTTATCGCAGAATACAACATCACGGTCACATACAAATCAGGGAAACTGAGCGTGCTGGCAGACGCATCGTCACGTCGTCCTAATTATGAGTGATCTCATATCAACTAAATCGAAAGCGATCTATTCGATATGACACGTCGAGCGTATTTTGGGAATGAGCAGTGTGATTTGATCATAAAGACACTATCATCGAGTGATCGGGAATTTCAATGCAAGCTTTCTGGTCGCTTGAAATCAAGGTTGCATCGTTATGAATGGAAGGATGGTCTCCTTCGCTATGAAGTTGCACGTGACGACGAGCCACAGATTGTGGCCCCCCACAACGATGCTTCGAAGTACAAAATAGTGTACGAGGTGCATGATACGCCGATATCCGGCCATATCTAATGTGGGAATACCTACCAATTTCTGTGGACCCACATGTACAAGTGGATGGCACGATACGTGAAATCATCTTTCAACGCGTGAAGAGCGCGCAACACATGCAAGTTCTGCTACAGAGTCTTCCCGTTTCCACTGACTGTTGTAAGTTAGTTGATCATGACTTTATGTTTGGCTTTCCTGAGGATGCTGATAACCACACTGGGGTGCTCGTCCTTATTAATAGGCCTCGCAACGTTCCGCCTAGCGATTCCATCGATGTCAAAGGTGTTCATTGATCACGTTTTTTATGCAATAACGGGTTGCCAGACGCCACCGTCTCTGATCATGATACTCGATACAGGAGGGCCTTTTAGAAAGAATTGGTCCGAATTGTTGGTACTTGGATATGTACACTCGGAGACCATGGGCAAACTGAACGCACCGACCGAGATGTCGATGATGTGTTGAGAAGTTTCTGTGCGGAAAATCCCGCAGAATGGATTTTGTTATTACCATTTTTTTTTAAATTTTCTATGGACGTTTCGGTTAAGATATTACTGGATTTCCGCCAGTTTCTATGAATGGCTTGCAACAATAGATCCAATTTCCAAATGCACCCCAGCGAGTTTCCAAGACGCCATGCGAAGTCGCGAACTTCGCGAACGTCCTGTCGATTATCCTTCACACGACACCTGGTCGGTCAACTCGATCAACCGCTGGTTAGTCAGAGAGAGAAGCTTCCCCACCTTCGTCAAATGTGGTTCCAAGGTGGACTAAGTCTGTGGACCAGCCACAGAAGAAGCAAAGGGGACGTCCTCTCCAGGCACCTTCCCTCTTCTCGATCGACAAGGTAATCGATACTACCGCGTTATGAACGTGGTAGCGGAGAGGAGTTTCCACGGTCAGAAGGAGCTCTTGATCAATTCTCTGTAGTACCCAGCGAGTGAGAAGACGTGGGAGTCTTGTACTCGTATTCGTCGCGACTGTCCCAGTATCGTTCGCGCGTTCGATACGGATCCGAAGACAGACCCCGCTTAGAAAAGCTGTCCCTTACTCTTCTTCTTCTGTTTTCTTGTCTTGAAACCGACTGATGAAAGAGCACACTTCATGAGTATCCCCGATATCGGAGTGAACTCGTATTGGAGCAGGCTCTGCCTCGCCCGCTGCGGCTGCTTTCGCTGATGATCCGGGCCCTCCTGCCAAGCTATCTCGGCGTTACCGATTATTCCCATCATTGTGAGGCATTGCTGAGGCGACGGCGTCAGTGATTTTAGCCTCGAAACTCATGCCGAAGTCGTGGCTTTAAGTCACCTACGAACGAGACTGCTTTACATCCAGGTTGGAACATGCGTGGTCGCGATGGTAGGGTTTGAGGGTCCATTTGTTGAGCGCTGGATGGGTCCTTAGCCAGCTTGGCAGGTCGATAGCGTAAGCACTTCCTTGGCATAACACTATTCAGAATGGATCGATGGAGCGAGATAATGGCTCTGAGCTTCCCAAGCTTGAAAATATCGTCTCCATGTGATCACATTCACACGACTCATGATGAATGAGTCTAGGGCATTTTTGTACTTGCGCGTCACATTTGCATAATCGATTGTACCAATTTGAGATGCCAAACTCCTCCCCCACTTGCATCGCAGACGCCATCCATCGCACAAAGCGGTACGTGTGGGGATCCTGCGCTGTCAAATGCGCAAATTGAAAGCGCGTATCGCGTATCTTCAACATGTCAGCAGTGGTGCTTGCGCTTTACAAAAGGTGGTTGCAGTTAGATGTTTGTTGCTAACGTTTGCTAATCTCTCGGCAGCAAGAAGATTGCATTCTTTCCTCCTTGGTATGGACGAAATTCATAGCCTGTGACGCGCTCATGGATCCTCCACACCCGTACTCCAATTGACCCTCGCGAAAAAGATGCTGTACTCCACACTCATTACAACCCCCACTCTATCCTCAAATAATGTAAAATGGAATGGTAACCTGTTGAAAGACCCTTTTTGAAGGTGGTAACTGCTGGAGAGGGCCTGCTGTCATACAGACTGTAGACTCCCTACTCTCACTTTTTGTGACGGGTGGGTAAAAGGGGTTTTGGTTTTACACGAATCTCTTGGCTAAAGGTGCAGATTTCGCGACAGATGTCACTCCGACACTTTCCAAGTTGATTAAGTCTACCTCTGTGACAAGAAACTGCAGGTGTCTGCCTATTTATATCCCGCGCAGCCTGCTAACTTGGAGTCTTCCAGCGCAACGCGCTGTTGCTCCGTCAAAGCATACCAGATTTCATCTCCAAATTCAGCTTCTACCTAAGCGGATTTTTTTCGATTCTGTCCTTAGAGAGCTGAAAGTCACCAACTCGTGGTTGAGGCATTCACGAAGATATCTCACAAGCGCATTTCACAGTCGGCTAATGGCTTTAGGCGAGTGATTGTTATTTTCGGCCTTTGTGTCGTTTTGATTCCTTTCTATCAAGACTATACAATCTAGGAGCTTTTTGGGAGTGATTGATTATCTCGTGGGCAGACAATTTAACGGCTCTCATAACACTCTTACCGCCTATTGAGATTCGTCAAACTGGCAAAAAGTGCTAAAGGACTTCGCAATGAGAGTTACCAATGCGCGCACAGAAAGGCCCGTACATGTCCAAGGGATAGAACCAACCGTTACAGTAACTAAGTACTTACATTGCGCTTTGGTTTTACCAGTGTTTTTAGAGAATAGTTCGGTCAAAATCAAAGATATTTTTCTATCTCCACTGATAAACCATATACAATGTATAGACTACGACAAGCAAACACCGACTTTTCCTTTACGGAGACCCATCACTTATTACTTCCAGTACTTTGGTGTTTCTACTCTTTGCTCTATGTGCGAGGGACAACATATGTACACAAAAATATGGTACGCACCCTGGTGTGTTCAACACTTAATTTTTAGCCTTCATTTATTGAATGGACAACACGTAACCCCTGTAAGTGTACTTCTGGTGATCTTCAGCTAAAATTGGTGGAGACCTGATCTTGACCTCGTCATGCTTTTCTTTGCGAAAAGCAAGCCACTTTGATGTGGACCACCCAAAACGATTCTGTAATATAGTACTCTTATTTTATCAAAATACGAGTCAAACTTATGGGTAAGAAAAAAAGCAGCACTGACAAGGTGGCCAAGGCGCACCGACAGGAAGTCAAGAAAGCCAAACAGAGCGCGAAGGGTGCAAAAAAAGATCGCAAGGCTTTAGGTACAGATGAAGGTGACATTGAACTCATATTGCAAGAATTTCGCAAGAAAGATGCCGAGCGGACTCAAGTGATCATCGAGGCAGTGCAACAGCCGACACCTCGAGCAAATTTTACACTCTCTGCACTACCTTCAGGCGACATGTTACTATTTGGTGGTGAGTATTTCGATGGTGACGTTAATGAGTGTTACAATGATGTATTTAAGTGGAATCTGGACGCAAAACAGTTGGACATAACTGATGGAATCGCATTGAACGATGAGACAGAAATGGTTCGAGAGACTGCGTGGAAAAGTATAAGCTCACCAAATACGCCACCGCCACGATGTAGTCATCAGTCAGCAGTATACCGAGAACATTTATACGTTTTTGGAGGGGAATTTGCTACTGCGGACCAATTTCATCACTATCGAGATTTATGGCGATTAAATCTTAAGACTAATGCATGGGAAGAACTTGAAGTGAAAGGGGGACCATCACCTCGAAGTGGACATCGGATGGTGGTCTGGAGGAACTTTTTGGTCGTGTTTGGAGGTTTTTACGAAGCAGCTCGCGAGACCAAGTGGTTTAACGATCTTTATCTTTTTAATCTAGTGGAGCTCAAGTGGCAAAAAATAGTTTATGCTCCCCATCGACAAGTACCGGCTGAACGAAGTGGTTGTCAATTGGCTGTCCATCCATCAAAAGATCTCATATTTCTTTACGGTGGTTATGCAAAAGTTAAGAATGCTGGGGAAAAAGCCGAAGGTAAAGTGTATTCAGATCTCTGGGCTTTGAACTTGACTCCAACATTAAAACGACAATCACCAACATGGGAAAAACTCTCGCGAAAAGGTCAGGCACCAAGTCCACGAAGTGGTGCTGCAGTGACAGTACATAAACAGCGGTTTATTCTATTTGGAGGTGTTTTTGATGAGGAGAAGCGGCGCCATACTATCGAATCCACGTTTTACAACGATCTGTTTGTATATGACATGGATCGAAGACGTTGGTTTGAGTTTAATTTACGTGGGAAGAAGACTGATGGAAAACGTCGACGAAAGAAGAAAGACAAAATGTTGGAAGGTCATGAAAGTGACAGTGAAAAAGAAGAGGTAAAAGACTTTGATGCGATGTTAGAAAAACAGTTTGGGTATGTGGATGACGAGGGAAATATTGTGTACATTGAAGATGCTCATGAGGAAACCAAGGAAGATGAAGAGAAAGATGAGTGCCAACACTTTGACCAATCATTTGTAAGTGAAGCTGAAGAGAAAAAAGAGGAGGAAGAAGAATTCATTGTGGGGGAGGAGAGCAAAATGGTCGATGAGTTGAATATTCCAGCCCCATGTCCACGCATAAATCCAGCTCTGATGATCCGCGGGAGTACACTTTACGTTTATGGTGGTGTTGTTGAAGATGGTGATCGAGAAATTACTTTGGATGATTGTTGGTCTTTGGATCTAAAGCGACTTGATGAGTGGAAAAAGGTGCTGCCTGGCACAATGTCGCTGCAGATTTGGAAAGGTGAAGTAAGCGAGACTGAGGAATCTTCTGATGATGACGATGATGACGAAGATGAAGTTAGTGAAGATGAAGAGAATGAAGAGAATGAAGAGTTTTGTGAAGAAAAGGAGAAGACAAAAGCAGTGGAACGAGCGATGGCTATATTGAACAAAGATGAAGACGATGACGGAAAATTGAAGAAAAGGTCAAAGAGTAAGCAAGTCAAGACGAAGGAAAGCCACCGTAAGTCTCTTCGTGCAGAGATGGAAAAGTTGCAGGAGCAATTGGGTCTGGACGATATTGCTCGAACACCACAGATGGGTGAAAATCTGCGCGACTTCTTTGCGCGTACTAACGTGACATGGGCTACAGAAGTGATGAAGCGTCCGAGTACCGTGGAGCATGAACTGAATGCGAAAGAGATTAAACGGGAAGGATTTCTGCTTGCCGAAACTCGTTATAAGGAGCTGCTGCCAGGTATGAGTGATATAATGCCTTCGACATCTTA